GACACAAATGCCTGCTGGTATGAGCGAGTGAATGTACAGTATGAAGCCTGTAGGGAACTCTTGTCTAGATGTCTCCTGAGTGGCGCAGTGGTCTAAGAGTGCCACTAGAGATCCTGGTTCGAATCCAGGCTCTGTCGCAGCCGGCCGCGACCGGGAGACTCATGGGCGGCGCACAATTGGCCCAGCGTCGTCCAGGGTAGGGGAGGGAATGGCCGGCAGGGATGTAGCTCAGTTGATAGAGCATGGCGTTTGCAACGCCAGGGTTGTGGGTTCGATTCCCACGGGGGGCCAGTATAAAAATATATATATATGTATTCACTAACTGTAAGTCGCTCTGGATAAGAGCGTCTGCTAAATGACTAAAATGTAAATGTAAAATGTAGATAAATGTATACAGTATTATCTGACCTTAAAGCTCCCCGATGAGCAGGAAGGACGACAGGGACAGCTGAAAAGACAGAGAGAGAAATGTCGTCAGATATGAATCCAACCGAACACTACACAGCTGTCAAGAGAGACTACTACTTGGATTCCAATTAATATTGCCAATAAATAAATCTTTCTCAAACTCATCTCAGAACGCAGTGACACTCTCCTAAGTGTCACAAGTCTAACAACCAGAGTGTAATACTGTCAGCAACAACTGGATTAGGTGCCTAACTGTCAGTCTTTTGCCCCAGCCCAAACTATCACACCGGACTCCAATAATCAACTAATCATGATCTTCAGTTTAGAACGCAATTAGTTTAATCAGCTGTGTTTGCTAAGGATGGGGAAAGTGTGACATCACTCCGGCCCCCGAGGTCTGGAGTGGCCCATCCCTGATCTAGAAACACTATCCTCCCGCCTGTCCAGCCAGACAAACAAACCAGGTAAATCGTAATGCCAATTAAAAGGTGCACTTTACAGAAATCCCTACACCATTTCCTGGTTGCTAAATTCTAATAGTTTGCCTAATTTCAGTTTGTCTCAAAACAAGCAGTAATTGTACCATCTAAACCGCTGTGAAATATATTTTCCATAACCAGAAATATTGTATTTTCAGCTGGTGTACAAAACCGAAAGTAAAAGACACAAAAACGAAATGTAGGAATGGGAAGCATAGAAATAGCGCACCTAAAGCATATCTACCGCTTATTAGACTTGCTTTCAATGAGAATGACAGATCTATGACAGATCTATAACTCACATTTCTCCCTACGTCTGCCTTCGACTCATTTCTCTCTGCCTCCTTCTTTCCACTCCTTTCCTCTGTTGACCTCACCCTCTCACCGTCCCCCCCTACTCACAAGGCAGGCAATACGCTTGACCTCATCTTTACTAGATGCTGTTCTTCTACTAATCTCACTGCAACTCCCCACCACTACTTTGTATCCTTTTCTCTCTCGCTCTCCTCCAACACTACTCACTCTGCCCCTACTCCGATGGTAATGTGCCGTCGCAACCTTCGCTCTCTCTCTCCCGCTACTCTCTCCTCTTCCATCCTATCATCTCTTCCCTCTGCTAAATCCTTCTCCCTCCGATCTCCTGATTCTGCCACCTCAACCCTCCTCTCCTCCCTTTCTGCATCTTTTGACTCTCTATGTCCCCTATCCTCCCGGCCGGCTCAGTCCTCCCCTCCTACTCCGTGGCTTGACGACTCATTGCGAGCTCACAGAAGAGGGCTCCGGGCAGCCGAGCGGAAATGGAGGAAAACTAGACTCCCTGCGGACCTGTCATCTTTTCACTCCCTCCTCTCTACATTCTCTTCCTCTATTTCCGCTGCTAAAGCTTCTTTCTACCACTCTAAATGTCAAGCCTCTGCCTCTAACCCTAGGAAGCTCTTTGCCACCTTCTCCTCCCTGCTGAATCCCCCTCCTCCTCCCCCTCCCTCATCCCTCTCTGTGGACGACTTCGTCAACCATTTTGAAAAGAAGGTTGACGACATCCAATCCTAATTTATTAAGTCAAATGACACCGCTGGTCCTGCTCACACTGCCCTACCCTATGCTTTGACTTCTTTCTCCCCTCTCTCTCCAGATGAAATCTTGCGACTTGTGACGGCCGGCCGCCCAACAACCTGCCCGCTTGACCCTATCCCCTCCTCTCTTCTCCAGACCATTTCCGGAGACCTTCTCCCTTACCTCACCTCGCTCATCAACTCATCCTTGACCGCTGGCCATGTCCCTTCCGTCTTCAAGAGAGCGAGAGTTGCACCCCTCCTCAAAAAACCTACACTCGATCCCTCCGATGTCAACAACTACAGACCAGTATCCCTTCTTTATTTTCTCTCCAAAACTCTTGAGCGTGCCGTCTCTAGCCAACTCTCCTGCTATCTCTCTCAGAATTAACTTCTTGATCCAAACCAGTCAGGTTTCAAGACTGGTCATTCAACTGAGACTGCTCTTTTCTGTGTCACGGAGGCTCTCCGCACTGCTAAAGCTAACTCACTCTCCTCTGTTCTTATCCTTCTAGACCTATCCGCTGCCTTTGATACTGTGAACCATCAGATCCTCCTCTCCACCCTCTCCGAGTTGGGCATCTCCGGCGCTGCTCACTCTTGGATTGCGTCCTACCTGACAGGTTGCTCCTACCAGGTGGCGTGGCGAGAATCTGTCTCCGCACCACGTGCTCTCACCACTGGTGTCCCCCAGGGCTCAGTTCTAGGCCCTCTCCTATTCACTCTATACACCAAGTCACTTGGCACTGTCATATCCTCACATGGTCTCTCCTATCATTGCTACGCAGACGACACACAATTAATTTTCTCCTTTCCCCCTTCTGATAACCAGGTGGTGAATCGCATCTCTGCATGTCTGGCAGACATATCAGTGTGGATGTCGGATCACCACCTCAAGCTGAACCTCGGCAAGACGGAGCTGCTCTTCCTCCCGGGGAAGGACTGCCCGCTCCATGATCTCGCCATCACGGCTGACAACTCCATTGTGTCCTCCTCCCAGAGTGCAAAGAACCTTGGCGTGACCCTGGACAATACCCTGTCGTTCTCCGCTAACATCAAAGCGGTGACCCGATCCTGCGGGTTCATGCTCTACAACATTTGCAGAGTATGACCCTACCTTACACAGAAAGCGGCACAGGTCCTAATCCAGGCACTTGTCATCTCCCGTCTGGATTACTGCAACTCACTGTTGGCTGGGCTCCCTGCCTGTGCCATTAAACCCCTTCAACTTATCCAGAACGCTGCAGCCCGTCTGGTGTTCAACCTTCCCAAGTTCTCTCGTCACCCCGCTCCTCCACACACTCGTCACCCCGCTCCTCCACACACTGGCTTCCAGTTGAGGCTCGCATCTACTACAAGACCATGGTGCTTGCCTACAGAGCTGTGAGGGGAACGGCACCTCCTTACCTTCAGGCTCTGATCAGACCCTACACCCAAACGAGGGCACTACGTTCATCCACCTCTGGCCTGCTAGCTCCCCTACTTCTACGGAAGCACAGTTCCTGCTCAGCCCAGTCAAAGCTATTCGATGCTCTGGCACCCCAATGGTGGAACAAGCTCCCTCACGACGCCAGGACAGCGGAGTCACTGACCACCTTCCGGAGACACTTGAAACCCTACCTCCTTAAGGAATACCTGGAATAGTATAAAAGTAATCCTTCTTCCCCCACCCCCCATAAAAAAAAAAGGAAAAAAAAGTGGTTGTCCCACTGGCTATCATAAGTTGAATGAACAAATTTGTAAGTCGCTCTGGATAAGAGCGTCTGCTAAATGATGTAAATGTAAACATTTTGTCAGGTTGTCCAAAAAGTTACAGATTGTTGCTTTAAGTCAATAGAGAGTGGGTAGAATAAAAACATTTAATTTATTAATGAATAATAATTATAAATCAAGTACAGATATGAACAATATTTCTTCACAGCTCTATCTCAAGAATGATTCTCAGGCAGTACATAAAAAAAATATATTATATTCTAAGCAGCATAAAATATTAACCATAAGAATATGTACGTTTCCTTTTTTTGTCTTTAAAAAATAAATCAAAATAGATCCTATTTTTCAGCAGATGGACAGCTTGGCTTCACCTCAATGTTCTTCACATATAAATCATATCAACATAGATTATAAGGCTAAACATGAGGTAAGGAAGCAGATACCATATACTCTCTATACTGAATCACTGTGAAAGAGAGACAGCTTCAGTACACTACACCTCAACGCTAATAAAATAAGCTTTATGCCAACCAGTTCTTACAGTGCCCAAAGCTGTTCTGTGATCAAAGATATCCAAGATCCATAATTCACATCTCTTACTATCATGTTGTAATGTCATCTATTTCATAAAACACATTTATATCTCAAAGGTCTAGTAACAATATGAAAAGGTACACACCATTGGTTTCCCTTTAAAAACATGTAAGATAGTATCTCTAGTCTAAACATACTAAGATCAAACTGAAAAACTAAAATGTGATACCTGCTCACTCAGAACGGTGCCAAAAAAGCTATTAATGCAGGTCTGAGATTGGCAGGTGCCAGGGTGTGTGTGAGCGAGAAAGAGGCTTAACGTTTCTCTCCCCATCCCGCAGATTTCCCAGCCTCTGCCAGAGAGTGTTTGTAGATTTCAGCAGCTTGTCAGACTGGTTATTAACTGAGCATGGGACAGAACGAAGATGAATGGGCTTCGGTTTAGACTCTTTGAAACTTGTTGACAACATTAAGGTGCTCTGTCACAGGAAAATTGCCCTAATTGATTGATGGTGGGCAAATCTGTGGATATGTTATGTGCATTTCTAAAGAGATAAACATGTTTTACTTTTCTTGTTGGAAACAGTCAGGCTTTGGGTGGAAGCCCTTGGGAGTTGCTCAATTCCTCCCTTTTCATTACATTTTCTGTCCACACTAACTTTATCATGCAGATGCAGGCTTATCCTTGTCCTTGGCTGAGCTACCAGGCTACCTGAGTACCTGGCTAATAAATACAACATGATATATTCATCCTTCTATGTTTCAGCTAAGCTTGTCTATAGTTACTTGTCTTGAAAATCACTTTGGCCACAAGCACAGAATGTTCAACAACAAAGGTCACAAAATGTTCAACAACAAAGTTCACATAATGTTCAACAACAAAGGTCACAACAAAATGAAACAGATGGAGAAAGGACAAATAAATGGTCAAATGTTGAGAAGTTCAGAAAGATTTGGAAGGACTGAGTCCCTGGCCTCGGCTGCATATACATCCAGTCATTGCTTTGTTTGTCTATGAAGGCTTCTCAAGGGCTTCGTTCAGCCAAAGTCTATTCGTGGCCTGTACTCCAGGACCATGGGATATCTCTGAGGAGAGTGTAGAAAGAGACATTAGTGTTATTTATTCTCAGTTACCTTCAAGTTTATTCAAAAGACAACTTGCAAAGTAAATAACAGAGTAGATGCTGGCACGTTCTGACAAGCAGAGCGTATTTAACTAATGAGCTTTGCAATTCCATCTCAAATGGACCATATTTCACAGGAATGGATGCCTAGAGACAGAATTGCCCCTTTCAACAGACTTCAAGACAAAGTTTTCCTGGATGGTGTTTTAAGGAGAACACACTTTCCTGTGAACCATCCCAGATAGATCCCTATGGCTGACAGTTGAAATAAGACAGAAGGCAGTATTGGACATTCAGATGCACGGCACTGAGTTAATGCTTTCATGATTTCTCTCTGAACTATCTGCAGTCAGTCCATACTTTACTGCAACTTATGATTTTTAGGGGTTTGCTGGATAATCATCTATAAAACACTATCTGGATTTATTTGTAACAGTGTTTATATGGTAGCCAACAGCCATCAAGGCACTGAGAAGTTGTATAATTAGCTGAAATGGTACAGTGAACAGAAGGAAAGAGAAGCATTTTTAATTAATTTGTAATTAACATGTAATTAAAAGTAAAGCTCAACGCAGACTAGGAAATCAATACATATGGCATGTGAGGACACGTACCCCCTCTCTGTAAACTAGCTGGGACTGTCATTAAGATGCTCTGAGGACATGGCCAGTTCCCCCCCCCACCCGTCTCCCCCGTGTCCCCCATGTCCAGTCTCCCCCGTGTCCAGTTCCCCCCGTGTCCCCCATGTCCAGTTCCCCCCGTGTCCCCCATGTCCAGTCTCCCCTGTGTCCCCCATGTCCAGTCTCCCCCGTGTCCAGTTCCCCCCGTGTCCCCCGTGTCCAGTCTCCCCCGTGTCCCCCATGTCCAGTCTCCCCCGTGTCCAGTTCCCCCCGTGTCCCCCGTGTCCAGTTCCCCCCGTGTCCCCCATGTCCAGTCTCCCCCGTGTCCCCCATGTCCAGTCTCCCCCATGTCCAGTCTCCCCCGTGTCCCCCATGTCCAGTCTCCCCCATGTCCAGTCTCCCCCATGTCCAGTCTCCCCCGTGTCCCCCATGTCCAGTCTCCCCCATGTCCAGTCTCCCCCATGTCCAGTCTCCCCCGTGTCCCCCATGTCCAGTCTCCCCCGTGTCCCCCATGTCCAGTCTCCCCCATGTCCAGTCTCCCCCCTGTCCCCCATGTCCAGTCTCCCCCGTGTCCCCCATGTCCAGATTTCTCATAGGCTAATGAGCACAACATCATTCAACTTTCAGTGTTTTTTTCCTTCTACTTGGCTCTCTGTTTAACATGTGCAAGTTGTTCAGGATACGGCAACATGACAAGGCTTCAGTAGGTCTAATGCCTGACCAGTTGGCTAACAAGATGGACGAACTAAAGACAGCTGGTCGGAGGGCAGGGATGGTAAAGACAGCTGGTCGGAGGGCAGGGATGGTAAAGACAGCTGGTAGGAGGGCAGGGATGGTAAAGACAGCTGGTCGGAGGGCAGGGATGGTAAAGACAGCTGGTCGGAGGGCAGGGATGGTAAAGACAGCTGGTCGGAGGGCAGGGATGGTAAAGACAGCTGGTAGGAGGGCAGGGATGGTAAAGACAGCTGGTCGGAGGGCAGGGATGGTAAAGACAGCTGGTCGGAGGGCAGGGATGGTAAAGACAGCTGGTCGGAGGGCAGGGATGGTAAAGACAGCTGGTCGGAGGGCAGGGATGGTAAAGACAGCTGGTAGGAGGGCAGGGATGGTAAAGACAGCTGGTAGGAGGGCAGGGATGGTAAAGACAGCTGGTAGGAGGGCAGGGATGGTAAAGACAGCTGGTAGGAGGGCAGGGATGGTAAAGACAGCTGGTCGGAGGGCAGGGATGGGGCAGCAAATGACATAACACAATCCCATGATGTCATACTGTAGATGGACTCTATGATGTCATACTTTACATGGACATGGTGTATTGGGCATTTGGGTGGGTATGGATGATGTCAGGGCATGCCAGAAAGAACATGATCAATAACAGGGCATTGAGAAGTACAGAGGTTACCAAAGAACTGGATGAGACAGGGAGTGTGGAGGAAAGGACAGAAGCAGGAATGGCATAATAGACTTACATTGTCACTGTGCAGCCTCCAGCGGGTCATGTAGATGAACTCCAGAGTGTGGTCCTTCCCCATGATCTCCCCATTACACAGCACATCCAGCTGGGGAGAGAGGACACACCGGGGCGGACTGGGACAAGAATTCGGCTCTGGTATTTTATCCACACGCCCCCACCCCACCAGCGCGCCACCATTAATACACACGGCCCATCCCCAAACATAAACCCTGACACTACACACCCTACTTAGACACAGGCAGTAGTACTGACACATAACAATTGCAGTACAGTACAGCGTTTCTCAACCATTTCTGTAACAGTGACTGGCGAGACATGGTCCTCCTCCTCTTTTTAACCAGCTCATGTTTAAAACCAATACAATATGTAGATACAACTCTGGAGATACAACTCACCACTATAACTGTTCCTCTGTCTGGACATACAGCTCACCACTATAACTGTTCCTCTGTCTGGACATACAACTCACCACTATAACTGTTCCTCTGTCTGGACATACAACTCACCACTATAACTGTTCCTCTGTCTGGACATACAACTCACCACTATAACTGTTCCTCTGTCTGGAGATACAACTCACCAATATAACTGTTCCTCTGTCTGGACATACAACTCACCACTATAACTGTTCCTCTGTCTGGAGATACAACTCACCACTATAACTGTTCCTCTGTCTGGACATACAACTCACCACTATAACTGTTCCTCTGTCTGGACATACAACTCACCACTATAACTGTTCCTCTGTCTGGACATACAACTCACCACTATAACTGTTCCTCTGTCTGGACATACAACTCACCACTATAACTGTTCCTCTGTCTGGACATACAACTCACCACTATAACTGTTCCTCTGTCTGGAGATACAACTCACCACTATAACTGTGCCTCCATTTTGTTTGCCTCCATGTTGTGCTGTCCATCTGTCTCAGCATCTTCTCTGCTGTCACAGTGCTTCTTCTTGTTCTCTGTCTGCTTATGTCATATACAGTGCATTCGGAAAGTATTCAGACCCCTTTACTTTTTCCACATTTTGTTACGTTACAGCCTTATTCTAAAATGGACTAAATTGTGTTTTTTCCTCATCAGTCTACACACAATACCCCATAATGACAAAGCAAAAACTGGTCTTTAGACATTTTTGCAAATGTATTAAAAATACAAATAAATAAAATATCACATTTACATAACTATTCAGGTTCTTTACTCAGTAGTTTGCTGAAGCACCTTTGGCAGCGATTACAGCCTCGAGTCTTCTTGGGTACAACGCTACAAGCTTGGCACACCTGTATTTGGGGAGTTTCTCCCATCCTCTCAAGCTCTGTCAGGTTGGATGGGGAGCGTCGCTGCACAGCTATTTTCAGGTCTCTCCAGAGATGTTAGATCGGGTTCAAGTCAGGGCTCTGATTGGGCCACTCTATGACATTGAGACTTGTCCCGAAGCCACTCCTGCGTTGTCTTGGCTGTGTGCTTAGGGTCGTTGGAAGGTGAACCTTCGCCCCAGTCTGAGGTCATGAGCGCTCTGGAGCAGGTTTTCATTAAGGATTTCTCTGTACTTTACTCTGTTCATCTTTCCCTCGATCCTGACTAGTCTCCCAGTCCCTGCCGCTGAAAAACATCCCCACAGCATGATGCTGCCACCACCATGCTTCACCGTAGGGGTGGTGCCAGGTTTCCTCCAGATGTGACGCTTGGCATTAGGCCAAATAATTCAATCTTGGTTTCATCAGAGCAGAGAATCTTATTTCTCATGGTCTGAGAGTCCTTTAGGTGCCTTTTGGCAAACTCCAAGTGGGCTGTCATGTGCCTTTTACTGAGGAGTGGCTTCCGTCTGGCCACTCTACCATAAAGGCCTGATTGGTGGAGTGCTGCAGAGATGGTTGTCCTTCTGGAAGGTTTCTTCATCTCCACAGAGGAACTCTGGAACTCTGTCAGAGTGACCATCTGCTTCTTGGTCACCTCCCTGACCAAGGCCCTTCTCCCCCGAATGCTCAGTTTGGCCGGGCGGCCAGCTCTAGGAAGAGTCTTGGTGGTTCCAAACTTCTTCCATTTAAGAATGATTGAGGTCACTGTGTTCTCGGGGACCTTCAATGCTGCAGATTTTTTGTTGTTGATACCCTTCCCCAGATCTGTGCCTCGACACAATCCTGTCTCGGAGCTCTACGGACAATTCCTTCGACCTCATGGCTTGGTTTTTGCTCTGACGTGCACTGTCAACTGTGGGACCTTATATAGACAGGTGTGTGCCTTTCCAAATCATGTCCAATCAATAGAATTTACCACTGGTGGACTCCAATCAAATTGTAGAAACATCTCAAAGATGATCAATGGAAACAGGATGCACCTGAGCTTAATTTCGAGTCTCATATCAAAGGGTCTGAATACTTACGTAAATAAGGTATTCAAGTTTTTTATTTGTTATAAATTTGCTAAAATTTCTAAAAACCTGTTTTCGCTTTGTCATTATGGGGTATTGTGTGTAGATTGATGTAAGGCTGTAACGTAACAACATGTGTAAAAAGGAAAGGGGTCTGAATCCTTTCTGAATGCACTGTACGTTCTAAAAGCCAAGCTAACGACTAAGGCTGTATTGAGAATTAGTGCCTGTCATATGTGTTCCCCTGAATCAACACCTACTACTGTTCATTACTATCACAGGGCTAACATTTCCCCTGCTGTCACTGACTTTTACAGTTGGGGGCACCAGCCCATGATATGGTTAGATCCAAATCATGACCAATCATCTTATAGTCATTCATTGTGTTTTATTAAGAAGTATAATACATAGACTAATGAGGTATTCAAGAAATAAGTTGTTTCATCTAAGCAGGAATGCATGACTCAATATATTTTGATGTGCAACCTAATCCAGTGATTGTCATGAATTTTGGGCTGACAATTAGACTATTGTTGCTATATTTTACTGTCAAAATAGGACTCCAGAAATTCCAGATTATAATTTTTTGGGTTCAATCGAGATGAATTACATAAATATTGATGTGCACTAACTAATATCACAGACTAATTAATTAGGGGTTCAGCACCTGAGGAAGTGGAAACTCAAAACATATTAACTAGACTGCTAACTCTAAATAGGTTACCCACTGCTAGTAGCCATGTATTCATCCAACAGTAAATGTAGTCCTAAAAAAGCTTTGCAATTGTAGGCTACTACCATGACACCTATAGACCAGTGGTGGTAGGCTACTACCATGACACCTATAGACCAGTGGTGGTAGGCTACTACCATGACACCTATAGACCAGTGGTGGTAGGCTACTACCATGACACCTATAGACCAGTGGTGGTAGGCTACTACCATGACACCTATAGACCAGTGGTGGTAGGCTACTACCATGACACCTATAGACCAGTGGTGGTAGGCTACTACCATGACACCTATAGACCAGTGGTGGTAGGCTACTACCATGACACCTATAGACCAGTGGTGGTAGGCTACTACCATGACACCTATAGACCAGTGGTGGTAGGCTAACAGCATCATCACATCTACAGTACCAGTCAAAGGTTTGGACACACCTACTCATCCAAGGATTTGTTTTAAAACTATTTTCTACATTGTTAAATAATAGTGAAGACATCAAAACTATGAAATAACACACATGGAATCATGTAGTAACCCAAAAAGTGTGCAAAGTTGTCGTCAAGGCAAAGGGTGGCTACTTTGAAAAATCTCAAATATATGTTGATTTGTTTGACACTTTTTTGGTTACTACATGATTCCATATGTGTTATATCATAGTTTGGATGTCTTCACTTTTTTTTTTTGGTCATTTAGCAGACGCTCTTATCCAGAGCGACTTACAGTTAGTTAGTGCATACATTATTTTTTTATTTTTTTATACCCCCTGTGGGAATCGAACCCACAACCCTGGCGTTGCAAACGCCATGCTCTATCAACTGAGCTACATCCCTGCCGGCCATTCCCTCCCCTACCCTGGACGACGCTGGGCCAATTGTGCGCCGCCCCATGGGTCTCCCGGTCGCGGCCTGCTACGACAGAGCCTGGATTCGAACCAGGATCTCTAGTGGCACAGCTAGCACTGCGATGCAGTGCCTTAGACCACTGCGCCACTCGGGAGACACATTCTTATTTACAATGACGGCCTACACCGGCCAAACCCGGACTACGCTGGGCTAATTGTGCACCGCCCTATGGGACTCCCAATCACGGCCGGTTGTGATACAGCCTGGAATCGAACCAGGGGGTCTGTAGTGACGCCTCAAGCACTCAAGCATTGAGCACTGAGATGCAGTGGCTTAGACCGCTGCGCCACTCGGGAGCCCAGTACTATGCTTTCAGTACTAGATTCATTCTTTGATCCTTTGATTGGATGGACAACATGTCAGTTCATGCTGCAAGAGCTCTGATAGGTTGGAGGACGTCCTCCGGAAGTCGTCATAATTACTGTGTAAGTCTATAGAAGGGGGTGAGAACCACGAGCCTCCTAGGTTTTGTTTTGAAGTCAATGTACCCAGAGGACGGAAAATAGCTGTCCTCCGACTACACCATGGTGCTACCCTACAGAGTGCTGTTGAGGCTACTGTAGACCTTCATTGCAAAACAGTGTGTTTTAATCTATTATTTTAAATCAGTTATTTGGTGACGTGAATATATTTTAGGGATGGGCTTTTTAAATAATTTCACTATTCGAATAATATCATGACATTTTTTCGGATATCCGGATAGTCGAAATACAAGTAAAAAACAACAACATGTGTTTAAACTTGGTAACTGGCTTGCTGCGCAGCCTGAAGACTTGGGTGCCGCTTGCTTGCAGCAGTGCGATGGGTAGAGGCCGGTGAGTTTGACATGGAAGGGAGTGAGAGAGTATCCATACAGACTAGTCGCGCTAGTTAGACAAACTTGTAGATTCTTTAGGTTATCATCCCATCTGGTAGTACCCGTCTCGACTGCATCAAATCGCTGTAAAGAAGCTAGCTAAGATAGCCAGCTAGCTTAGCCAGCTAGCTAGGCTAATTAAGCTATTTTGCCACGCTTCCCGTCCTTGTCTACAACAACTCCATTCAGATTAAACAACAGCCTGATGGTTGCTCGTCGTCATAGCCTACTCCTCCTCATTTAGCTAACTTCATTCCCTAATTTTAATTCAATTTTGCATTGATTAGAGATCTCCCATGTTGCTGGCTACACATGGAGCCACTGACTGTAGACAGTGCCACGACAGTAACAACAAACGTGTGAAACCCGTGTAGACTACTACGGTATGTCTTTTTATGGGGCGCACATCATAAAAACTACATTCAAAAGTTTGTTGTTTTATTGAATTAAGAATTTAAAATGTCATAGAATTTCATTGCGTGTAGCAATGTCAAATTGATAATTTTACTTAATTTAGACAAAGCATTTTCATTGTTAAAATAGGCCTATGATTTATTTAAAGCTTTATGAATACTCTTGCAAGTATTTGAATACTAAAGTCCGTTCGGATATTCGAATAACCGTGCCAATCCCTAATATATTTAGTATAGTTTTATCTAAGAACGATAACTTTTGTAATGTTTCACTAGTTGTATTTTTCTGAAATTCATTGTGTAGGGTGGTCCTCCCCTTTCTCCTATATGCCTATGCCCCTGTAATGGCCGGTGTGCATTTCGCTGTCAAAACCATATCAAATATCTTGGTTGTTTAGTTTAATGATCAACGCATTTTTCTCTCAAGTGTATGGGGGGAAGGAGAGTGGCTTGCTCATCACAGCAGCAGGCCCCAGCGAGGGCACAGGCACAGGGCAGACACTTTCATTACAGGAATCATGAGGATAATGCACTTCTAACTGATGACAGAGTCGGAGCAGGTCTCTTTGCTGATGCTGCGTTTGACTTTGAATGCGAGTTTGCGTGACCTCATCTCAGAAAACCCGGGGGGGCCGGCCGTTGCCCACTGATCAGCCAAAGGCTCATTATAGACTAGTATAAGAGAGAAATTGCCCATGGCAGTGTCACCATAATATGTTTGTGTCAATTCTGACCAGCCCGCCCAACTAAAAAATGGTCCAGCCCATCTGGCATTTGCCAGAATTGCTAGATGCCCCTGGACACACACAAAACAAACAAACGCGCACACACACACGTGCGCAAGAAAACACCAAGGCATGTTATTTACATTAGTCCCTTTTCTAAACCCATCATCAATATAAAGTGAAGTTACTGTACATTATGACATAAAAACAGTAGCAGTGGTCTTACCTCACAAGAGCTGGAAAGCTTTAACTTTAGACTGAGAAACTTCTTGATGGTTCCCACCGTGACTCGACTAGAGCAGTGAATGAACTTCTTCATTAAACACTGGGGTAAATAACAGGAGTATGTTCATGTTACATTCAGATAGAACACAGAGTACAGAATACCAGAACTGGCCTGAACATATTGAAAGAAACACTCCCATGGAACACTGCCATGGGAAGAGGAAAATGATTCAAACACACACACACACACACACACACACACACACACACACACACACACACACACACACCTTCACTGTGTCATCTGCAGCATGGCCATTGTTGTGGAGACAGTCCAGACAGATGGCTATCTGGGGGTCGCTCCTGTGGTAATCCTGGTCATCTTCATCCCCATCCTCCTCATCACTGAGCCCAAGCTTCTTAGACCCAAGGCTGTCTCCTGTGGGATAGGAGATCATACTAGCAAGCCGGGCAGAGAGAAGTAATATATATGTATGTAAATTATATACAGTATACACACACACACACACACACACACTAAACAGAAATATACACCACATTACAGCTTCTTATGATTGAATAACCCAAACCCAGAGGAAGGCCCTCAAAATTGTCAAAGACTCCAGCCACCCTAGTCATAGACTGTTCTCCCTGCTACCGCACGGCAAGCGGTACCGGAGTGCCAAGTCTAGGTCTAAAAGACTTCTCAACAGCTTTTACCCCCAAGCCATAAGACTCCTGAACAGCTAATCATGGCTACCCGGACTATTTGCACTGCCCCCCCCCCACCCCATCCTTTTTACGCTGCTGCTACTCTGTTAATTATTTATGCATAGTCACTTTAACTCTACCCACATGTACATATTACTTCAATTATCTCAACTAGCCGGTGCCCCCGCACATTGACTCTGCACCGGTACCCCCCTGTATATATAGCCTCCCTACTGTTATTTTATTTTACTTCTGCTCTTTTTTTCTCAACACTTTTTTTGTTGTTGTTTTATTTTTACTTTTTTTGTTAAAATAAATGCACTGTTGGTTAAGGGCTGTAAGTAAGCATTTCACTGTAATGTCTGCACCTGTTGTATTCGGCGCATGTGACCAATAAAATTTGATTTGATTTGAACTCTACATATACAGATGAGGTGAACTACTTTGGCACCCTTGCATGATTTACTATGTATTCTAAAATAAGTTGAAATTGAAAAACAAATCTCAACTGAAATTGAGATGTCACTTCTAAGTCTGCACAAAATTATTAAACATTATAATTACACTGAACAAAAATATAAACTCAACATGTAAAGTGTTGGTACCATGTTTCATGAGCTGAAATAAAAGATCCCAGAAATGTTCCATACACACAAAAAGCTTATCTCAAATTGTTTGCACTAATTTGTTTACATCCCTGTTAGTGAGCATTTCTCATTTGCCAAGATAATCCATCCACCTGACAGGTGTGGCATATCAAGAAGCTGATTAAACAGCATGATCATTACACAGGTGTACCTTGTGCTGGGGACAATAAAAGGCCACTCTAAAATGTGCAGTTTTGTCACACAACACAATGCCACAGATTTCTCAAGTTGAGGGAGCATACAATTGGCATGCTGACTGCAGGAATGTTCACCAGAGCTGTTGCTAGATAATTGAATGTTTATTTCTCTACCATAAGCCGCCTCTAATGTCGTTTTAAAGAATTTGGCTGTACGTCCAACCGGCCTCACTTCTGCAGACCACGTGTATGGCATCGTGTGGGCGAGCGGTTTGCTGATGTCAACATTGTGAACAGAGTGTCCCATGGTGGCGGTGGGTTTACGGTATGGGCAGGCATAAGCTATGGACAACAAACACAATTGTATTTTATCGATGGCAATTTGAATGCAGAGATACCGTGACGAGATCCTGAGGCCCATTGTTGTGCCATTCATCCGCCGCCATCACCTCATGTTTCAGCATGATAATGCACGGCCCCATGTCGCAAGGATCTTTACACAATTCCCGGAAGCTGAACATTTCCCAGTTCTTCCATGGCCTGCATACTCATCAGACATGTCACCCATTGAGCATGTTTGGGATGCTCTGGATCGACGTGTACGACAGCGTGTTCCAGTTCCCGCCAAAATCCAGCAACTTCGCACAGCCATTGAAGAGGAGTGGGACAACATTTCACAAGCCACATTCAACAGCCTGATCAACTCTATGCGAAGGAGATGTGTCGCGCTGCATGAAGTAAATGGTGGTCACACCAGATACTGTTTGGTTTTCTGATCCACACCCCTACCTTTTATTTTTTTTAGGCATCTGTGTCCAACAGATGCATATCTGTATTCTCAGTAATGTGAAATCCATAGGTTAGGGCCTAATTTATTTATTTCAAATGACTGATGTCCTTATATGAACTGTAACTCAGTAAAATATTTGAAAATGTTGCATGTTTATATTTTTGTTCAGAGTATATATATGATTTACTCTACTAATGTAAAATAACATACTTATTACATTTTACAGTAAGACCCAATACAATTTTTAAAAGTGACCTTGTTAATTGAGACTTATCCCATACCTTGTGAATTTTCTTTTGACTTATTCTTCCTCCAGAAATCAATCTCCTGCTGTTGCTCTTCTGGTCAACACACACACAGTCATAAAGAAAAGAGGAAATACAAGGTCATTTCAGTCCCACTACATCTAATGACTCTCCCAAGGAGTGATTGAAATGATTGACTTTGACTGGGAGATCATTAAGAAATATATCTTGAGGTTTTTCCTAGTTGACGAGAACTCACTTTCTCGTAATCCAGGCACAAGCTTGAAAATGATTTCCTCAAGAGTATTGTCCAACCTCAGAAGAAGGAGAGGATCAGTGAAGATGAGAAAAGCCACAAGGGTAAAGATAAAGAGGAAGCTGTGGTTTGTGTTGACAGTGCACTTGCAGTATTCTAAGCAAAGTGAAGGCCAAATGTTTGTTGTTAGCTAGTTGTCTGTCAGAGATGGTCAGAGCTAGTGGAGGACTATGTTTGTATGTGTCGTACCTTAGCATCTCTAGAGGGTTGGTTTCATGGACTTGAATGCCACATTTGGGACAGTCGTTACTGTCTTCAAAGTGCTGGATGATGCAGCTCTTACAAACTGGAAAACAAGAAAAATCCTATTACATAATGTAAGATGCTTAGAGTGTCTTTGGGAGAGGATGGACTGAGGGGGAAGGAAGTAATAGAAAGTTAGACTTGCAGATGCAATATTTTAATTTGACCAGTTTCTCACAGCAGGAAAATAATGCAGCAACAGGACATGTGAATTATTAAGTGGATGATAATGAATGGACATTTTTGTAGGGGTTGATAAAAGTATTTTTAAACCTTCAATACACTACAAGTTAGCATTTCCTGTTGCACAGCAGTGATCAAATTCTGTGACAACAGAGTGATCAAATGAAGACAGTACACATGTAACAGTACACAGAAAACACAGAGCAGAGAAAGACAGATGGAGAAGTACAGGGGTGTGTGTGTGTGTGTGTGTGTGTGTGTGTGTGTGTGTGTGTGTGTGTGTGTGTGTGTGTGTGTGTGTGTGTGTGTGACTTACATGTGTGCAGGCACTCAGTGACCGTGGTGGGTTTGATCAGGTAACCTCTGCACAGGTAGCAGGTAATGAAGTGGTTAAAGTCTTTCACCAGCCTGGGTTGGACCAGGGGTGTCCTCTGAGTAGCCATGGGGAGGTCAGGGATGAGGTGGGGTCAGCAATCACAGAGGTCCCTGCAGCCCCTGACACCGCTGGTTTGTCCTCTGTATCTGCTTCATCATCCTCAGCCATCTGCTGGGAAACACATTCTTCTGAAGACTATTTGATACTTTCACTCTCAGATTACCTGTCAGACACAGAATATAAGGGGAAAAGGAGAGGAAAGTAGATGATTATGCCATCTGCTACACGCAGGTGAAGTACAGGTTAATTCACCTCTTGGCATGTTCATTCAAATACAATGTGCAAAATAAAATAATATAAATAAAAAATAGAAGTATTTACCCCGTTTCAAAATGCATGACTTGCCTACTTTTAAAATACTGTCACGCTGCCACTAAAACATGAACCTGCCTCATCTGTCCCCATCATAAGCCAGGCATTGACGGCAACCAGATATCACAGTTTAGAAATGTCCTATTGACAAAACACATTTGTAAATTAACTTTAAATAGTTGTCTAGGAGGACAGAGAAAGTCGTACAAATGGCATAAACGTCATACAAATGCCTCCCTCGGTTTACTAGAAAAATCCTTGAATCGGTAGGCTACACTAGGCTCTCTCATCGTAGAGTCCCTCGCGGTTTGCGTCACCTGTATCCCCGCACATTGACTCGGTACAGGTACCCCCTGTATATAGCCTCGTTATTGTTATTGTGTTACTTTTTTTTCTTTTTTAAAAAACGTTATTTAGTAAATATTGTCTTTACTTTTTTTTCTTAAAACCGCATTGTTGGTTACAGGCTGTAAGTAAGCATTTCACGGTAAGGTCTACACCTGTTGTATTCGGCGCATGTGACAAATAACATGTGATTTGATTTGATTTGTATCACGGTGTTCATCACCAAAACAACATTAAAGCACCACACATTTAGCTACTGACCGTAGCCACGATATTCACGACGACCACATACTTGAAACAAAGTTGCGACTCGCAAGGAGATAGCCGAATGAAGTAAAGTCGAGTCAAATTAAACCTGCTCTATAAACGTAAAAAAAATATAAAGAAAATCACTAGCATTAGCAACCTAAATACAGTTATGTCACACACGACAGACGACACATTAGCCATCATCCCACCCCCAAAGTTTGACTATAACGGGGATGATATTAAAGCCGATTCTTTGTAGGGTATTTCTGGCTGAAACGTTTGAACAATATAGGCTACATTTCATCTTACCTCGTAACCTCTCTACCTTTTCCATGAGGTTATTATAGCTGGTAGAATGGCAATAATAGACTGACCATGACACTGCGTTCTCCTGGTGATATCAGCGACGTAGGCTAGTATGAAACTAGTGGTAAGAATACGGAATTTAAGTTTGGTTCAAGACAACTGGGAACTCGGAAAGAAAAGAGCTCGTGACGTCAGTGATCTTCAACTCGGGAAGTCGGAGCTCAAGGATGATGGCCGAGTTTCCGACTTGTAATTCAGAGTTCATGACCAGTCGGAGCTCGTTTTTTTCCGAATTCCCACTTTTCTTGAACGCACTGATGTCGGAGATCCTAGATTTCTATAGTTCCGTGTTCCAAGTTGTCTTGAACCCACCATTACAGCCTCCAGCTATGCAGATCGGAAACAGTGGGCGGGAGATTCACCAGCTCGTGTGATGTTGCCAATTCATAGGCCTACTACAGTGTTTCCTCGGGACCCCAAGGGGTGCACGTTTTGGTTTTTGCCCTAGCACAACAAAGCTGATTCAAATAATTAAAGCTTTATGATTAGGTGATTATTTGAATCAGCTGTGTAGTGGTAGGGCTGGGCAAAAAACAAAACGTGCACCCCTTGGGGTTCCGAGGACCCAGTTTGGAAACACTGGCTAACTACAACCCAAATAACTCATATTTCTCGTTTTGCCAAAAAACTGGATTAAAACAAGTCATATTAATATAATATCCATACAAATGTGTTCATCACTATTAAGAATTCAGTTTCATATTCAATACAAAAACGAAGTTTTAAGTGACATATGTGATACATGTTGGTAATAGCCCCTTAAAAACAGGAAATGAGAGTGAGCAGACCTACCTGACTTACCTGACATAATGTTGTAGAGCAAACTCATCTTTTTACACCTGCTATTGCATCACTGTAAAAACAATTGAAGTTGAGTCAACTTTTTACAAATATCACACAAAAAACAAGCAACCAGCTGGAACACGTTTTCTATACTGAACAAAAGTATAAAATCAACATGCAACAATTTCAATAATTTTACTGAGTTACAGTTCATATAAGGAAATCAGTCAATTTAAATAAATTAATTAGGCCCTAATCTATGGATTTCACATGACTGAGCAGAGGCACAGCCATGGGTGGATCTATGAGGGCATAGGCCCACCCACTGGGGACGCAGGCCCAGCCAATCAGAATGAGTTCTTTCCCACAAAAGGGCTTTATTACAGACAGAAATACTCCTCAGTTTCATCAGCTGTCCGGGTGGCTGGTCTCAGATGTGGAGTTCCTGGGCTGGCGTGGTTACACGTGGTCTGCGGTTGTAAGGCCGGTTGGAAGTACTGCCAAATTCTGTGGTCCTCTGTAGCTCAGCTGGTAGAGCACGGCGCTTGTAAAGCCAAGGTAGTGGGTTCGATCCCAGGGACCACCCATACACAAATATGTATGCACGCATGACTGTAAGTCGCTTTGGATAAAAGCGTCTGCTAAATGGCATATTATTATTATTATTATGATCCCGCAGGTGAAGAACCCGGATGTGGAGGTCCTGGGCTGGCGTGGCTACACGTGGTCTGCGGTTGTAAGGCCGGTTGGAAGTACTGCCAAATTCTCTAAAACAACGTTGGAGACGGCTTATGGTAGAGAAATTAACATTAAATTATCTGGCAACAGCTAAGGTGGACATTCCTGCAGTCAGCATGCCAACTGCACGCTCCCTCAAAACTTGAGACATATGTGGCATTGTGTTGTGTGACAAAACTGCACATTTTAGAGTGGCCTTTTATTGTCCCCAGCACAAGGTGTACCTGTGTAATGATCATGCTGTTTAATCATCTTCTTGATATGCCACACCTGTCAGGTGAATGGATTTTCTTGGCAAAGGAGACATGTTCACTAACAGGGATGTAAACAAAGTATTTCACAAAATTTGAGAAAAATATGTTTTTGGTCTGTGTGGAAAATTTCTGGCATCTTTTATTTCAGCTCATGAAACATGGGACCAACAATTGATATGTTGCATTTATATTTTTGTTCAGAATATAAAGTACCAGTCAAAAGTTTGGACACACCTACTCATTCAAGGGTTTTTCATTATTTTTACTATATTCTACAATGTAGAATAATAGTGAAGACATCAAAACGATAAATTAACACATATGGAATCATGTAGTAACCAAAAAAGCGTTAAACAAATCAAAATATATTTCAGATTTTAGATTCTTCAAAGTAGCCACCAGTTGCCTTGATGACAGCTTTGCACACTCTTGGCATTTTCTCAACCAGCTTCACCTGGAATGTTTTCCAACAGTCTTGAAGGAGTTTCCACATACACTGAGCACTTGTTGGCTGCTTTTCCTTCACCCTGTGGCCAACTCATCCCAAACCATCTCAATAAAGGGTTGTGGTAGGGTGGTTGTGGAGGCCAGGTCAACTGATTCAGCACTCCATCACTCTCCTTCTTGGTCAAATAGCCCTTACACAGCCTGCAGGAGTGTTGGGTCATTGTCCTGTTGAAAAACAAATAATTGTCCCACTAAGAGCAAACCATATGGGATGGCATATTGCTGCAGAATGCTATGGTAGCCATGCTGGTTAAGTGTGCCTTGAATTCTAAATAAATCACAGACAGTGTCACCAGCAAAGCACCCCCACACCATCCCACATGCGGAGATCATCCATTCACCTACTCTGCGTCTCAAAAAGAAACGGCGGTTGGAACCAAAAATCTCCAATTTGGACTTGGATTTACACCGGTCTAATGTCCATTGCTCCTGTTTCTTGGCCCAAGCAAGAAGTCTCTTCTTCTTATTGCTGTCCTTTAGTAGTGGTTTCTTTGCAGCAATTTGACCATGAAGGCCTGATTCACAAAGTCCCCTCTGAACAGTTGATGTTGAGATGTGTCTGTTACTTGTACTCTGTGAAGCATTTATTTGGGCTGCAATTTCTGAGGCTGGTAACTCTAATGAACTTATCTGATGCAGCAGCGGTAACTCTGGGTCTTCCTTTCCTGAGGCGGTCCTCATGAGAGCCAGTTTGTTATTTGTCACATAGATGTGTTTAGCAGATGTTATTGCAGGTGTAGCGAAATGCTTGTGCTTCTAGCTCCGACGGTGCAGGAATATATAACAAGTAATATCTAACAATTTCATAACATATACCCAATACACACACATCCAGTAAGGAATGAAATTCAAGAATATATACATACAGTGGGGAAAAAAAGTATTTAGTCAGCCACCAATTGTGCAAGTTCTCCCACTTAAAAAGATGAGTGAGGCCTGTAATTTTCATCATAGGTACACGTCAACTATGACAGACAAAATGAGAAAAGAAAATCCAGAAAATCACATTGTAGGATTTTTTATGAATTTATTTGCAAATTATGGTGGAAAATAAGTATTTGGTCAATAACAAAAGTTTCTCAATACTTTGTTATATACCCTTTGTTGGCAATGACACAGGTCAAACGTTTTCTGTAAGTCTTCACAAGGTTTTCACACACTGTTGCTGGTATTTTGGCCCATTCCTCCATGCAGATCTCCTCTAGAGCAGTGATGTTTTGGGTCTGTCGCTGGGCAACACGGACTTTCAACTCCCTCCAAAGATTTTCTATGGGGTTGAGATCTGGAGACTGGCTAGGCCACTCCAGGACCTTGAAATGCTTCTTACGAAGCCACTCCTTCGTTGAACGGGCGGTGTGTTTGGCATCATTGTCATGCTGAAAGACCCAGCGACGTTTCATCTTCAATGCCCTTGCTGATGGAAGGAGGTTTTCACTCAAAATCTCACGATACATGGCCCCATTCATTCTTTCCTTTACACGGATCAGTCGTCCTGGTCCCTTTGCAGAAAAACAGCCCCAAAGCATGATGTTTCCACCCCCATGCTTCACAGTAGGTATGGTGTTCTTTGGATGCAACTCAGCATTCTTTGTCCTCCAAACACGACGAGTTGAGTTTTTACCAAAAAGTTCTATTTTGGTTTCATCTGACCATATGACATTCTCCCAATCCTCTTCTGGATCATCCAAA